AGTATGCTGGTTTTTGGATGGCAAGCCTCATATAGATTCATAAATATACATGATATATAGTTAAATATTCATATGTTAACAAATAATTTGTAATACAATTCAATTATCTTCTTATTACTGGTGATTTGAAATAAATATTTTGCAACTTACCACTGCCACATGATCCCGCAAGAGCTCAAGTATGACATTAACAGTAATGGGTTCACCATTGAGGGCCTCTGACATATTTTCTGCTATCTTCTCACTAAACAAAACTTGAACTTCACCAGCTGGTAAGAAATAAAACCACAAAATTCAAATCCAAATATTGTAATTTAGTGATTAGTAACGTTCCTTGGGTATAACCCCACCCCCTACTTTATATACCAGTCTTTCCTCAGGCAAAAACCCAGTGTATGACTTTTACAAGTATTCTTGGACAAAAAAAATATGGAGTTTGAATTAGGCATACAGATACAGTGCTGAAAAATTGCTTTTTGATTGAAAAGGGGATTCCCCAGGTATAAGATCCACCCCCAAAAATTGACACAATTTTGTGTTCAAGGCAGGGTGGATTATACCAGAGTAACTATGGTATTTATATATATATCAATTATAATATTATACTTTACTTACCACAAACAGGGCAACATGCACCGGGCGGTGTTATTCCTATGCAATTCTTGATAGCTGGTGAAGGGCACCACTTTTCAAAACACTCAGAATTGCCTTCTCCGTCTTCTATACACATTATAAAGATATAATAAACAAAACAAAAATGTTATTCATAAAAAATTATTTTGATAAACACGTCTTACTTATATTGCAGAAAAACAAAGCACCACCATACAACTCCCCTGCAATTAAAGATGCTGGCCCATCTGTATACAGGTACTCAAGTGATGTTAGTATCTAGATCTAACTATACCTAGTTTTAAAAAATAAACAAAGTAGTTTAAAACATTTTTTTCATAATTTGCAACATTTTCTGTTTGATTCCACATAATGTATGCTGTAACAGTAGTGTTACACATAAGTCAATATTCTGTAACACTGTTACACAGAAGTCGATATTCTGTAACACCACTGTTGCTAGCAACACATTATCAACATAAATTGACTGGAAAATGTCTTGTATGTCTGATCATTCTTTGCCCCTTACCTGATAAAGTGCCTACTGCTTGACATGCCCCATAGTAATCAACTGTGGTACGATCACTCCATGCCTCACAAATGCTCGAGTAGGTTTCCCCATTCTGGCCACACACAGGAGATGTATTCTCGTGATCACAATGTGACTGTTACAAAAAATTTGAAAATATTGAAGATTTGTTCATCTATTGATTGCTTCTGGCATTTATTGTCTCATTTTATAAACAAAAATAAATAAGTAAAAAAATGTAGACAAAACCATGTTATTGAACATTGTTGAAATGACAATTTTAACATCTAGGCCTATTTAAAAACACAAGTTCCAGAATAATTTAAAGATTGCGTAGTTTTCAGCTTAACTTACCTTACAATCGCCATTATAAGCAAAGGTTTTTCCAGCTTGGTGTAGAAAGCACAGGTTCAAGTGTCCTTCTCCATCACTATCACAAACTGGCCTGATTGGATTGTTTTCACAATCAAAACTATTACTATTAGGAACTAGAATAAATGTTAAAGAAATTAATTTAAAATCAATAAGATGATTATAAACAACAACAGGTTTACTGTATCTTAGTAAAATCTGTTAGATACATTTTTAGAATCAAAACTATTAAAATTTTTAATTGGACATGTGCCTATATCTTGATCTTTAAAAGACTGTACTTTTAATTTTCCAAATAAATATCATCATTATTATTCAAAAAACTTTATTTATATTGTCCCCATCAGGAGAGTGTGAACTGCTACATTACTCTACAGTATGAGTTGTGGCAAATTTGTAAATTTGCTGCCCCACCTCATCCTTCTGCGAGGCCTCAATAGCAAACTTACTGCATTTGTACTGTGGACAGTCATTGTGAAGGCTCAGACACACTTGTCGATTTGGTATGCATTGAGTGTCAGGCTGGCAGGGATGAGTCGAGCAAGGATCTCTACTCCCACACATGCCAAAAATGAATTGATCATTATCAATATCCACACATCTGAAAATATGTAAACCAAATATAGTAAAAATTGTGATGCAGTGATTTCAATGTAATTTTTTGGCTTACTATATATTAAACAAACATGCTTCCTATACTAAATACAGTACACATAATTCGAAGAATTAAGGCTTGTCCTAATTATGATTCTAAGACATATCATTAAGACTTGTAATTTCTAAGACTTATTATTACGACTATTCCTAATTATGATTTTAATATTGAAATAGGTATATAGCGTCCTCTATGTAAAAATCATGAAATTGAGGCGCCCTCAATGTTTTTTTTTTTAAATTGTTGTGGTGGAAATACTACTGTTTAACAATCGTCAGTCGGTACAGCTGTAATTTTATATGGCCTGTATTCACAATTTAATGATGAATTCACTTCATTTAATTATGAATCTTAGAGTAAAATCAGCTTATAAAATTTGTATGATGCACGAGATAATACATCGTAGACGTGAGGCGTAAAATGTGAATGTGCATACGTGAGACTCATACATTATGCGCGAGATTTTGTAGATGTATAATTAATGCTAATTAATGCCCTACCTTGCAAGACATGCGCTGGGATATGTTTTGCCATTAAGTGCACAAACAGGCACAAACTGATCCGCGCAATTACAAGGGAGACCTGTGTACCGCCTTTGCTCTTCCATGGTGGCGTAACTTGGCAAGCATTGCCTGTTCGAGCATGTGCTCACGCCACCATAACATACACACATGTTACAGTCAACGGAGAATCGACTTTCATGTTCTGAAAAAGTAAAATTTTATTTTGATAAAAACATATCAATAAAGCATAAAATAAAAAATATAATTACTTGGGGGTTGTTTTTATGTATCTTCAATAAAAATAATGTGAGAGAAATATTAGTGCAGGAACAAGATTTGAAGTCAAGGACCTGTGGTAGGCCTATACTGTTTAAATATGTTCTAATAACTGTTGGAAAACCATATCCATATGTTCCCATTGTCTTTTTTAATATAACTTCCATCAATAAAATTAAATTTTTATTTCTGCACTTCGTACATTTTATTCCAATCAGAATAAAAAGATGAAGGTCAAAAACTGAAGCTGTGGGCCCACAGGCCTAAGTGCCCGTCTCTCTTTCCTTGGCATTTGGGCCGGACTGTGCAAGGCTGTGGGGGTTCGCTACTACTCCCACACAGCAAGTCTGTTGTACTTTCCCAACATCTGGTACCCATTTATATTCCTGGGTAGAGAGAGACAGATGTATAATAGATACATTGTCTTGAGCTATTGGATACAAGCGACTTGCACAGGGAGTAAAGAGTCCGAGCCACAACTATTGTGCCCATCGCATCCTTAATTGGAGCAAGTTTTATATTTTCTCTTAGTAATAGCAATTATTTGTAAACCTTGTGATTACATTACCTCTTTGCTGCCCAGCGATGTTACAATGTCTAATCTGTATACTTGGCACAGTTTTGAAGTTTTCAAGGAGTCCATTTTGACCGCATCTGCATGCCATATAAAGTGCCAGATCATTGGTTGAATCTGGGACTCGAACCAAGCTTCCTTGTGGTACTAAGAAAGGTGAATTAGAACCTCCAAGTTTACAACCTAAGAAACAATGAAAAGAATGGAAAAATCAAGCTCAGTATCTTGTTTTATAATTTATTGCTCCTTGATACAGTTTTAAAGTTTTCAAGTAGCCCATTTTGGCCGCAACTGCTTGCCATATAAAGTTTTATATATGACCAGGTTGGATTGTATTAGATTGGCTTGCTTAATCTTATAAAGAGCAGATATGGATATACATAATTGTTCAAAAATCTGAAGAGGTAACTGTTTGTAGAACTAATTTTGGTATTGTGATAGGATAATTAACCTTTTGAAAATTGTCATCACTGATGACAATTTTCCCAAAAGGTTAATTTTCCTCACAACTTATATATGAATTATTGAAACTTTATAGTAATTAAAATTTTAATCTAGATTTTAGTTTATTAGTCTAGGTATACCAGTAATATTTTATTTATCGATCGAGGAAGAATTTAGGCTATATACCTAGTTGAATGTTCACTAACACACTAAGTCAACTGCGAACCCCACCTACCCAGAATTGGTTACACATTTATAGTCATTAATAGACCGCACAAAATGCCAGAGAGTGCATATCTTGGCAACTGCAAACTACACTTTTCCAGCAAGATAACAATGTTTCAAATCCTGAAGTCCTAGTTTATTTCCCACAATATAATTTTTATAATTAAAAATACCTCTAAACCTACACTGCAAGTGATAAGAAAAAAAAATTGAATTCCCAACTTGTAATGGTGAATTTGTTATGGTCGAATGTGAATCTGACTTGATAATTATTTATAAATTGAAAGTATTACCAAATTGGCATTTATGCTGAAAGCAGACGTCTCCTTCTCCACAGTAGGTTCGATCTGTGGTACACATACTGTTTCTTGTGACAGAGGAGTTTTTACACGGGTCGTTGCTGCATGGATGTGTCACCTCAGATGCGATCTCAGCATATTCACTTGGATCTGAACAAAAACGATCCAATATATTTCAGATTATGGTACATAATACCATGCATCAAAACATTAAAATTTGTAGGCACCATTAATGTTTGAAACAATTGTGTAGAATACTATTCTTCTGAATATAACCACAGTAATGATCTAGCTAACAATTTTATATTATTATAACAATTACAGTTTTAAAATCCATTTTTGGTAGAACCATCAATCCTAACTCTCTGGATGTTGTCTGGCGGGGATATATGTAGTTTAATTTAACCAACAGTAGTTAAAGAGTATTTAAGCATAGTTTAAGGTAATTAGGAATGACCTCGGTATGACATTAAACTTCATCCAGTTGAGCATTCACAGATTAAACTGACAACTTTTTTCTGATGTAACCTAACAACAATTGCAAATGTTATAACATTTTTTCTTGGAAAGAATTTAAATTTGTCTTTAAGTTTCATCAAACAATTCCTTCGTGTTGTCATTTCTAGTGTATAGATGACAATTTTTTTTTTTTTTGTGAAAGCTACATAATATGAAACAGCTGCTTCTAGATTAATGAGGGTTCTCTTTCCCTTTGTCCTTATACAATCAAGTGCCGAGTATTGATACAGTACCTCAATTCGTTTAATTTTTTTTCTGTGTAGTGCCTTTCTCTTTTTCTTAACCATAAAATTTTTAAATATTTTTTTGACATGTGAAGCTTACATAAATAATCTTGCAGTGAGATACATGGAACATCCTCATCAGCTGGGGAGAGAATATCACACATGTCCTGAATCGATGCTCCTGCTTCTAAGCTTTCCTGATTAATGCACTGGGTTAAGATTTCCACACAGTCAGATCTATTTGAGTATAAAGAAATACAATATAATATTTAAAATAAATACATCAATAATGACAAATTGTATGAAATAATAATGACAAAAATAATCACAGTAAATGATAATATAACAATAGTGATGTTCTAATACTTATAATTGTGACGGTTCATAATATGATGATGATAATGTTTCCAGACCTATAATGCATAATGGTGGGGGCACTGTTGATTTTTTTTAATCTAAGATAAAAAAAAAATGTTGGGTATCATATATTATAGGCCCTACTGTAGTAGTAGTATGATTTCAAAAAAAAGGTTGTTAATATCATAGGCCCAATTGTTTAAAGTGTTGGTAAATACACTCATAAATCTCACATAAAATTTTTAACTGATATTATGAATAAGAGCCTAAAAATCAGTTTGCAATTTACAGACTTCTCCTGCATTCCCCAATTGGACTTCAATGAATGTGGTTATTATTAATATCTGCACATAAATTCTAATTACACATACAATGCATTCCTTCTCATAGTACACTTTCAGAATGTGGCATTGGTAATCGTATAACAAAAGTATGAATGTTCTCTTTTAACTGCTTGAAAATATTGTTTGATTGAACCATCTACCTCGAGATACAGGAGCTTTCTTTGTTTTTGTAGGTTGCTTTGATCAGTAGAGTAAGAATGCTTTGATCTTTAGTTTAAATCAATGTTAGTCACCTACCTATTAGAGGTAATGTTTTGATTGGTTAAACACTTATATTTGTGCATATAAGCTTGTAAATATGGATAATTACTTAATGTTCAAAATATTGAATCCCAACACGATGCATTTCAGTACTTGGAGTATGTATTATACTTTCTTATTTGAGATTACAGGCATCAAACTTAAATAAGAATTGTTTTGAAACATACTTGCATATCATGTTGCCATGTGACTTCGGATGACACGGTTTAATTTGCAATGAGCATGCGATCGCTTTCCACTTTTCAGGTTCGCAGTCTCGGATATTCTGCACAGAGATGGACATATGCGGCATCTTAATGAGACCTTCCATCCAGGTGTTCATGTCTTCTCTTGCGCTGCGGTCCGCATGTGCATTACAACTGCGAAAAAGCTCAGTTGGTCTTTAGGGAAAAAAGTATAAAATGGATACTATTCATTAGATAATTAAAGTGTAGTTAAACAAAGTCTGTTGTTATTCCAACCTTTTACTGATGCAAGCCTGTTGTGGGTGTGTTCTTCACATGTTTCCTGATGTTCGGCATATTTCAGGCATGCATGAATTAATTCTTTTCCTACTGGGTTTGATGAGGCTATAGATTTTTTTGTGCCAACTACATGAATCCATAACACAGTATGTTAATGTGACTGCTCAAAAATTACTTATATATAATATGTGCAAAAATAACTGTAAGGTATATAAATGTACCTGGTATGACATACATGTACTAGAGAATTTTGTTATTATGCGCAACAGGCAAATGTGTTTTTATACGCACACATTTCGGTTGGAATCACATTTATGCTTCTTACCTTCCATTGAAATTGGTGCAAAATTCCAATCCACTACAGCCAGGCTCACAAGGCTCCTCAACTGTCAATCAAAATTACAAACTGATAAATATAAAATCAAATACAAATACTACCAATATTTTTTTAATAATACAGTAGCTATTCTTTTTTTTTTTTTTCATTCAATTTCCAGGTAACAATACAACAAAAACATGACAATGAGAATACTATACTGTGAGGATTGCCATGAGTGCAACACTATCAAAGCGGCTCTCCATATTGCATCCTAAATTATACTAAACATTAAAACTACCTCAAAGTTTGATATGAAAATGAAATGCTAAAATTTTATCATAAAGTACAGTAAGAAACAAATACAATAAAATATTTTAAAATCGTCAACAAAATAAAATAACGTTATACATTAAAGCTGATGAATATATGAACAAGAATGATTTAAAACTGTATATTGATTGTTCTCTAATAGGAAGAGATTCCCAAAGACAAGGAAAATTTATAAACAATAAATATTTCAAATTTTTACTGTTATTCCTAAACCATAAAAATGTGTTAAGATGCGTCCAGACTATCAAATTTTATTGGGGAAAAAAAAGGACATGCCTAAATGCCTCATGACCATATATAGGAAATTATGACTATAAATGGACAAAACAACAGCTTTTGTCAAACAGAATTTGACAATCTGAACACTGAGCTTTAAGCTTACCATCGTCTAAACATGTGAGCATTGCAGTTTCTTCCGCAGATCTGTATTTACACTTTGTCTCAAACTCGTCCCAACTCGATCTGTCAGTATTCTCTGTGGTATGAAGCTGTAAGATGATATAAACAAAGTAATCTTTAATATAATGCTATAAAACTGGCAAGCTTTCTATAATATCTAAGACAGCTTGCAGTCCAAATTTTTTTTCCTAATGATATTTTTATTCAAACTTCAAGGAAACAGAAATTGATGAATGTCAGCTAAAATGTTTTTAATCAATCAATAAATATATGCAATATTATTTTAATATTGTATAAAGTCCTGTTAGATCAAATTTTAATTGAAAAAAACATGTGACACGACTAAATATGTTCATGATTACATCCCATCATGACCATATATAGGCACATCATGACTTTATAATAATAATAATAATATGTCGTTCTTATATAGCGCTTAATGCCTTAACAAAGCCTCTAAGCGCTTCACATTATTACCCCGGTCATTGGATCAAACACATATGGATCACATTGAACACTAAACGAAATTATTAAATTAAATTATATCTCCATAATATTGCAGCTAGTAATCAGTATATGGGCATCCAACAGTTTTTTGTCAGATAATTTTATAATCTGGACCCAGCTTTAACTTCTATACACTAAGAGGCCTGCACAATAATTAATGTCATTATTTATTATGATTTACAGGCTCGTAACTTGGCCTATAGGAATCTCCCCCCCCCCCCTTTCTATGAACCTGGTTACAGACTTGATTTGGTCCTGCTAGTAATCTTAACTTCACATGAAAACTAAACATGTGCAGTAAAATAGTGGGTTTAACTACCTTAAGACAGAGATCTACGCAGACTAGGCTAACAGCTTTATGACAGCAAGACAGTTTGGCGCCATCTATGTTGGACTGACTTAATGTTTCTTCTTCTTCTGAACTCTTTGGTAGCTTGTCAACTGCCAAGACAAACACAGAAAATAAAATGATTAATAATTAAAAATTTACTATTTGAAATACATTTCAACTATTAGACATTGATAACTATTTCAACTTCAACTTCAACTTTATTTTCCAATAAGTATAAGTAATCTAAAATTCAAATAAATACATAAACCAATATAGGAAGAAGCTAGAAAATAGTGTAAACACTAATCCAGTCCAGCCCCTTTAAAACTTAAAGCAATTGCATAATTCTATATATAGGGCAAAATTATTACTTTTTCAACTTACCAAATATCAAATATACCATTTTAAAGCAAAAGAATAAATAAAATTTATCAAAAAATTCATTTCGAAGAGAAAATATATAGTACATACATGATTACATAAATATACATATAAATAATGCGTAAGTTTACTTCAATAAAAATAACTTTAGTTCTCTCTTAAAAACAGATTTTGATTCATGTCTGATATATTCTGGAATCGCATTCCATAGTCTAGCACCAGAACACCCAACAGAGAATTGTCCCACATTACTTTTAT